TGTTGTCCGTAACCCAGGTGAACCTACGACGCCCAAGGAGGAAGTGCCGCCATCGCTTGAGAGCCATGACGAACGCGAGTAGCTCCTTTTTCCTTGCATCATCAAGCGAGTTGATGGGAGGCACTTTGTGGCTGAAATACTCCACAGGGTGCCCGTCGTCGCCGTCGTGCTGTTCCAAGACTGCCCCAATGCCATAGCCGGAAGCGTCCGTAGTCACTCTCGTCGGCAAGGTAGGGTCATAGATGCTAAGGACGGGTGCCATGAGCATAGCCGTCTTAAGTGCTTGGAATGACCGGCGTGCGTCGTCATCGAATACGAATGACACTTTTGGCGACTGTAACCTCGTCATAGGTGCAACAATCCTGGAGTATCCGGTGATGAATCGCTGATAGTAGCCCGCCAATCCCATGAAGGAACGAACGTTCGTGGTGTTGGTGGGCTCGGGCCATACTCGTAGGGCCTCGATCTTGTCCGCAAGCGGACGGATGCCTTTCGGCGTCACATAATGTCCCAAGTACTCCAGCTCCTGCCGCGCGAATTCGCACTTGTCGCGGTTGGCTTTGTACTTGGCTTGTCGCAGCCGCTCCAAAACGGTGCGCAGGTGTTCCACATGCTCCTCCAAACTTCGGCTGTACACCAGGATGTCGTCGAGGTAGATAAGTACGTAACGATCCAGCATGTGTCGAAACTCCGTTGTCATAGCCGCTTGGAAAGTGGCTGGGGCATTCGTAAGGCCAAATGGCATGACCAGCCATTCGAAATGCCCATATCGTGTCTTAAACGCGGTCTTGTAGCGATCCTCCTTCCGAATCTCGAGTTGTTGATATCCCGACTTGAGGTCCAACTTGGAGAAGAACTTGGCGCCGCCCAGTCGCTCGAGAAGATCGTCGATGCGTGGGAGAGGGCCGACGTTTCTGATCGTCTGCGCGTTGAGCTTACGATAATCGATGCACAACCGCAAATCCTTGTTCTTCTTTCGGACGAAGAGAACAGGAGCACCGTATGGCGATGAACTAGGCCGAATCCAACCTTTCTCCAGAAGGTCGTCGAGTTGTGCCCGAAGCACACTTAACTCTTCCTCGCTCATTCGGTAGATGCAACCGTGTGGAGGTACGGCCCCGTCCTCGAGGATGATCTCGTGGCGGATGGGTCGATCCGGTACTACTCCGTGCGGGCCTTCGAACACGTCGCTGTAGGCGTCGTGAAGTTCGGTGATGCGTGGATCCGAAGATGAGTCCGTCGATGAAGCGTCATGGGGCGGGAGGGCGTGGAGAAAACACACCCCCATCTCCTCGATGGCGTCTCTGATGATGGAAGCTCGCATGCTTGCGGCGGATACCACGTGGCAGCTGATCGAAGGATGAGGAAGAGGCACCGTGCATGGAACTAGTACTCCGTTCTGATCACGAATGTGAACGGTGCGGTGGAAGAAGTTCACCGGGTGATCCTCACTTCGTAGCCATGACATGCCCAAGATCATGTCAAATTTGGTGTCCAGAATGTCGAAGGACACCGCCTCACTTGCGTGAGGGGCAAAGTACACTGGGACGTTGTCAATGCACCGGTCGATTGACTTGTGCGTGTGACCGTCTGCCAACGTGACTTGCGTAGGCTGGGACTTCCTCCGGACGCGTGGGCCAAGGCCAGTGCGCACCATGAAGTTTTGGCTGATGTAGTTGCGAGATGCTCCGCAATCGATCAAAGCGCTGCAGGTCGCCTCCTCGATCTGAATGCGTACATATAGCAATGGTGCGTCGACGTCGTCGTACCGTTGCGTCTTGAACTCGCGGTCGATCTTCGCAATGTAGGCGTGAAGGTCGACAACCTCTACTCCGGCGTCCATCAACGGAGTCGGTACTGCAGTGTGCAAGTAATCCCGCAATTGTGCTTTGAGCACGTTGCAATGCGGTTTCGGCAATCGTCCGTTCGGGGGAACGGGCATCCACTGGAAGTCCGTGAACGTCAGTGGGTCGAGCACCTCAAGTCTTGACCACGACGATGAATCCCCGACGATAAATGGCGGCGAAGCTGCCGAATTGGTTGCCGATGGTGATGAAACCGTGCATGCGGTAGATTGTTGCACGTGGAGCGGTTGGTCCAGCGGTGGAACCAAATGGACAGCATAGTCCTCGTAAGTGTAATGAGAATCTGCGACATTCGCATCCTCCCCAGATGTGCAGGAGGCCGCTAGCAAGGCGGCCAAATCTGGCGGAGTAGAAGGTGGAGTCGCCTCACCTTCCGCGGAACTCAGTTTCCCGAGTTGAGGCGGGGTCGTACATCCTCCTTGCCCTGATCCTGGCACAGGGAGGTCTTGTGCTTGGTGCTGTTGCACCAATAGCAGCTGCCGTAGCGGCCGCGGACCTTGTACTCCGCCCCGGTCAAGCCGAACTTGACCCATGGAACTTGTACTGGTTGTCCATTTCCGGCCTGCAATGCGGATTTGACTTATTGTTGCTTCACGGCTGGACAGCAGTCACCTAATCTCCGTCACCTGATGCTGGTGTGGCTGCTGGGTTATCTCCACTGTCCGACTGGACTGCAGCGAACTGCTGTTGTCGCGGACCAGTTCGTACCTTCTCCGCATAGGTTGGCTGCCACGTGGACTTCTCATGTGCAGCCGGCCTGTTAGTCTTGATGAGCTCTCTCGCTTTGTTGATGATCTCTGCGAAAGTGTTGTACTGCTCGCGATCAGGCTGAGAGCGGCGCATGACCTGTTGTAGAACTCACGCCGCAGATGCGGAAATGACAAGTCCAAATCGGGCGTCGCCACGATTTTCTGCCAATCCGTGAGCCAGTCACGTGTCGGTGTGCTCCCTTGAGCCATCGTGAAGATGCGGTTGACGGCGAGTGCTGGGGCGTTGTCGATGATGAACCGGTTCTTCCATTCCTTTGTCATGTCTTCCCAGGAGACCTTCTTGTATAGGTCTGAAACCTGGACGTCGTGGATGGTTGCCATGTGGCTGAGCCAGATCTGACAACCTCCCTTGGTGTTGATGAACAGAGCACTGATGAACAGATGGTCAGGGACTTCGTGAATCCCCAACTCCGTTGTAAATCCTTCCACCAGACGACCGGGTCTTGATGTGTGTAGTCAACAAATTTCTCGATCCGGAACGTCGGCATCTTGTATGGCCTCGCCGAGCTGTTGTTGTGGCTGTGGTCGGTCTGCTGTTGCTGACTGATCTTGGTGTCCAGCAACTCGAACCGCTGGCTGATGGTGGCCGGCTCTGTGAAGGCACTTATGTCTCCTAGCATTGCCACTACGTGGTCAACGCGTTCCTCCAGTTGGCGTCTAGAAGATGCACTGCTGGAAGCCCCAACATCTGGTCCTCGTACAGCCTGTTCCAGGTCCAGTTAGCGGGCGTCCAGTGCCCGTGTGGCATCCTCGTGCTGAGTCTTATGGTTCCGCACGGCCTGCTGGAGGTTCGCCAACTCGGACTGTAGGTGGTTACAAGTATAAACCAACCTGGTCACGAGCTTGGCCATGAACTCCTTATGCTGTTCTTCCGGTGTTGCCTCGTCGCCGTTCGGTTCAGAGTGCCAGAACTTGAGTCTCTCGATGCTGTTGGCTTCATGCCGCTGCAGCAGATCCTGGGCTTCCTTGCGGCGAGCCTGGGCATCTGCGTCTGCTTCGGCCTGTAGCCGCAGTTTCTCTGCTGCTGCCGCTTCGTCAGCCTGTAGCTGGGCAGCCTTTGCTGCCAGCTGGCGTTGTTCCTCAGCCTCGATTACAGCGAGCTGAGCCTCGGCAATGGGCTCATTGGCCAGTTGGCCTGGTAGGCCCGTCATGTTGCTGATGTGGCACTGCTGATGTGGCACTGCTTACGTGGCACTGTCTGACGTGGCACTGCTTATGTGGCATTGTGTCTGACGTGTCACTGCTGATGTGTCACTGTAGCTGACGTGTCACTGTCTGACATGGCACTGCTGACGTGTCACTGTAGCCGACGTGTCACTATCTGACGTGGCACTGCTGACGTGTCACTGTAGCTGACGTGGCACTGTACCAACCTGGAAATGCATGCAAAAGGGTGGGTGGGAGGGAAAACGTAGGTAGGCAAACAACCCAACAATACTTCCCTCCGGCCCTAATCAACAGATAAAAATAAAATAAAAAAATAAAAGAGGACTACTTCCTTTTTTCGTTTCTGTTTTTTTTTTTTTTTGGTTTTTTTTTTTTAGTGTTTTTGTTTTTTTTGTTTTTGTTGTTGTTTTCTGAAGGACGGGGGTTGGAATCCCGGCGGTCATACTGTGAAAACAGGTAAACAAAAGCTGCAATAAGAGAAATGGTAGGAAAATAAGCAGTAGCGAGATGACAATATCCAGAATGCACAATCACATTGAAAGCCAGAAAGTATCACAGTGTCCAGAAAGCAGCATTGCACCAATAT